AAATCTTGTCTGATTCATCTTTGATCCTTAGCTTGCAGTAAGGAGCTTTGTAATTGTAGGGGTTTGGTAAGTGCTTGTTGAGTGAGTAAGTGAACACCTTTCACTCCCCCGCTCAAAGTCATTTAATGGCTTCTCTTTACCAACAAGGTAAAGCCCTTGAGCCTCTGAACTCAGCTCACCTCTTTGAGAATTGAATATCCTCTCACCCCAGGAACTGCCACCTCTTGGGGCTGGAACATGAGAGCTAGGGAGCATTTGAAGGGCTTCATCCATCTGACAAACATTCACTGAGCACTTTTTAAGTGCCAGGCCCAGAGCTGGTGCTGGAAACACAACAGTGAACAAAACCAACAGGTCTCTGCCCTCCTGGGGCTGTTGCAGGAGACAGATGTAAAAATGGACCTCACGGTGTGATCAATGTTATAAAGGGGGAACATGGGGCCCTGTGGGAGCTGGCGGAGCCCCCTAATCCAGCCCTGGGATCAGAGAAGGCTTCCCAGAAGTCACACAAGCCCAAATCCAAAGGGATGGTGGGAAGGAGATGGCACCTAGGAAGGCCAGAGGAGGCATCTTCCCATATCTCAACAAACGGGTTCCTCCAGCTTCTTACATAGATAGTCCCAGAGATTGGGAGCTCACTTCTGGGTAAGTCAGCCCATTGTGTGAATGCCTGGGTCTCAGAAAGTCCTTCCTTCTGATCGCAAGCCTACCCCACTCAATCTCTTAATTGTAACAATATTAGTTCATATTCATATTCATTAAAAGAGCATTTATTGCGGGGCGCCTGGGTGGCTCAGAGGGTTGAGTGTCTGACTCTTGATTTTGGTTCAGGTCACGATCTCATGGTTTGTGAGTTAGAGCCCCAAGTTGGGCCCTGCGCTGACAGGACAGAGTCTGCTTTGGATTTCTCTCTCTGCCCCTCCCCTGCTCATGATCTCCCTCTCTCACTCTCTAAATAAATAAACTTAAAAAATGTATTTAAAAAAGAGTATTTATTGAATGCCCACCTTCCACCTGCCAGGTGTTTACATGCACTACCTGATTGGCTGCTCACAGAGACTACTATTATCCCCATTTTTCAAATGAGAAAACTGAGGCTCAGAACCAGTGGTTTGCCCATGGCCCCTAAGTGTCTCATGCCCCCTAAGGCCTCAACCCCAGGTTGTAGTGCCTTCAGCATCACTGGCCCTCACTGCCTCCCATTGGGTCAGGCTCACCCAGATGCCCTCCCCTGGGATCTACACAGAAGAGGGGCTTGGGCCCCATCCCCTGTCTCCTCCAGCAGGCCGGCCAGCCCGGGCGGCGGCCTCTATCTCCTCAGAAGCTCCAAGGGAGACAAAGGCGGGGTCTGCAGGGGAGGCGAGGGCGCGGGTGCCCCCCTGCCTGCTGCCCTTTGTCTCCAGCCTGCTCCCCTCATGCGCCCCGGGAGGCTGGGAGGCGCCTCTCGCAGGCTTCCTCCTCCCATTCTTGTGCTAATTGGGTGTCAAGCTGAGATCAGTGAGAAAGAAATCCGCCCCGGCTCGGGTTAAACTGCCGCCAAAGATGAGGGCTGAGCCTGGAATATCATTAGGCTGGGAGGAAGCAGGGCCCCCTCCTCGGTGGGGGGAGGGGCCGGCCGAGCATTCAGGCCCCTTTGAAAGTCACTTGGTCACCCTCCCCTTGCCGCCACCGCCTAAATGGGCCCCTCGGAGGTATTTAACCTTCTTCCCAGGAATTGAAAGTGATACTCCAAGCACTGGCCCGGTCGGCCACTTGCCTGTCCTGAGGGCGGTAGGACCTCCAGGGATGCTCGAGGCCGGCTCTTTCCAGCCTCTGCCGGCCCCCAGGCACTGTTGCAGATGGGAACACTGAGGCTCCAGGAAGGGGCCTTACCCCCAGAGCTGCCATTCGCAGGCTCTGTGGTCTTTGGAGAGACTTTGCCTCCCTGAGCCTCAGATTCTTCATCTGTGGAATGGGGGTAAAAATAGTAGCTGCTTTTCCTTACGGATTTAACAAACTGATGCACACGTAGCGCACTGCAAATCGCCTGGCACATAGGAAGGGCTCCATACGGTGTGGCCGTTAGCAAGTCGAAGGAAGTGGGTGTGACCCGAGGAGGGATGAGGGACCTCCTAGCAGAGCCCCCCACTGTCTGGAAATGTGCAAGGGAAAGTGCCCACAAAAGACTCATTTTTCATACTTTGCTTCAACCCTCCTCCACACCGGATGCGCACTCCCCTGCAGCTTCATTGCTTTCCTAGACCTGCCCTGCAGGCCTTTACAGGTTGCTGCTACTCCTGTCTGGGATGCTCTTCCCACTCCAATTCTTGGAGAACTCTTTCTTGAATAGCCTCTCTGACCGTGAAACACAACTGCCTACCTGGCCAGCGCGCTGGGTTGGGTGCAGCTAACTACCTCACCGGCTGCTTCTTAACTCGCTAGCTCCCTCTCCCCTGTCCCCGGACAGTGGGCTCCCAGGTCTATCTTACCGTGCACCGCTTCTGCCCCTGCCCCCAGCAGGCCTTTAGACTCTGCTCCACAGATGAACTTAACGCGGTACTTTGTAAACCATGAAACAGCATAGAAACGTCAGGAAATGCCCAATAAACAGTAGCTATCGTTAAATTCACAAGCACATATTGAGAAGCTACTGTGCGCATAACTCACAGAGCCATGGTTGAGGATGACCAGAGGCAGACGGGAGAGCTCCCAAGGCCCTTCACTGGGGCGGGGGGGGGGGGGGGGGGGGGGTGCAGAGGGGGAAGCAGTGTGGAAGTGGTAAACTCAGGCCTAGTCTGGGGTCCTGATACCTGTATATATATCCTTTTTCATTTTTTACCCCGTAACTGCTGTGTACTGAGCAGGTATTGGCACCAGACCCAGAGTTAAGAGACCTCCAGGCACAATGCATTTTCACAACTACCCTAAATCTCTATTTGCAGAAGAACCTGAGGCTTAGCCTGGCAAATGGACTTGAGCACCTGCCCTTTTGAGCTGGAGGTTGTTAACCCAACCACCGCTCCATACTGCCTTTCGGTGACTGCATTCAATCTCCAGGAAGGAATAAGGGCCCCTGGGTGGGTGGCAGCGCTATCCCATTGGAAAGTACTCACTACTAAGGGTTAGATACAAAGCTGCCAGCCAGGACCAGCCCATGGAAGTCCGACTCTGGGCCCTCAAAGACGGAGTGCTCTGGGCTGGGTACCAGCCTGGGGATGAGGCAGCCCCTCCTTTCTGCTTTCGGAGGCTGAGAAGGGCCAAGAAGGAATTCTCCAAGCTCTGCATGCCCTCTGCTGGTCACACTGGGACACTGCAGCCATGCCTACCACTCCCTCCTAAACCCCCTCAACACCATTCTCCAAGGGCCCTACTCCAGCTCTGCCCCCCATTTCCCCCTGAGCAGCATCAGATTCCTCTTTCAAAGTCACTCCCCCAGGAGGCACCCCGGATCTCACCCTGGCCCCCCTCCACCCTGGCTGCCAGCTGCAGGTCTAGGGCGGGGCCCACAGTTGGCTCCACAGGCATTCGTGGAATGGAAGCTCTGTTGGTTTTCCCGTTGCCTTCTGCACCAGCAGGCGGGTGGGGCAGCAGGAAGCAAGAGGGGCTTGGGTTTGCCTTCCAGCGCCCTGCCTCCACTGCTGTGTGACCTCAGCAAATGACAGACCGTGGTGAGGGTTAAACAGTGAAGATGAAGCCCCCGGGGCACACATTGCCCACTGCCCTGGGGTGAGTTGGACCCATTTCCCAATGGGCCACCCGTTTCCAGCCTGGGTGTGACTCCAGTGATGGGGCCCAGGAGACAGCTGGCTCTCCACTGGTCTGCTGCTGATTGCTGCAGCTCTGGTAACACCGCTCCAGGAAGCTTTTTCCTGGACTCTGCCCCAGCTGGTCAGGCAGTCCTGCTCTGGCTTTTGCACAGCCACTGAACCCCTGGAGAAATGCACCCCAGGCAAGGCGAACAGCACAAGTGAGGGTCTGGAGATGGGATCCCATCCTGGGTTAGAGTTTTCTCCCTCAAAGGCTCTGAACAGCCCTTTCCTCAAAATGGGTCCCTTTGTTCTCTGAAATCCTCCTGATTACTCCCCTTTCACAGAAGAGGAGACTGAGTCACTTGCCCTAGGCCACGAACTCAGAAGTGACACGGCTGGTTTGGACTTTCAAGCTCACACTATTAAATACTTTGCCAACTCACTGAAGGCATCTTAACCGCTATATCCCTAAGTCGGAGTGAGTGAGTGGGCCGGAGGGGCAGGAGGTGGGGCCTGAGCAGGTAGGGTGAGCTCAGGTGGCACGCACACAGGCTAGGGGGAGTCAAGGCAGTTTATTGGCCCCTGAGTGACCCCCTCTACCCCTGCTCCTCTCATAACCGGCCCAGGACTGAGATGGAGAAAGTGACACAGACAGACCTACAAAGAGAAAGGTCCCACCTGAGGGGCAGCCAGGCAGCCACCGAGGAGAAGGATGGTGGCGGGGCGGGGCGGGGGGCTCAGTCCAGACTGCCTGCTGCAGGTCAGGGTGGTCCTCCTACCCTCCCTGAGGCGCAGGCAGTGCTGAGCGACACTGGAACAGCTCCAGGGCTAGGATCCTCTTCGGCCACCTGATCAACAGCCACTGCAGCCCCTGCCCACTCTGCTGGCTTCCTGAGTCTGGGGGCTTCTGCCCTGGTCCCATTTACAAGCTCCCTGCTTTTGGGGGAGTGCTTGGCGACCCTCCACCTGGCCCTGCCCTGACCCAAGACGTCCTCCTGAGGCACCCAGTCCATCTTAGCCTGGGGCCTAGAGGCCCCACCTGGCCTCGAAGACGTAATGCGGACATGAGGCTTTCACAGAAAGCCCTCTTGGGGGGCAGGGGGAGGTGGCAGTGAGTCACTTGGCAGTTTTGATGGGGAGGGGGTCAGCACCTCGGGGCGGAGGTGCTGGGCCCTGCTTGCTTTGGTCTGGCATCGCCCATGACCCCTCTGGGGTGGGAGCTGGGGCTCTGGATCCTGCACCCACTGGCCCTTAGAGGGACTCAGGGGCAAATCACAGCTTCTCCTCGCCTGCCTGGATGCGGGCGTAGGCCTCTTGGTCCAGCGGGATGTAGCGGCCCTTCCGGGTATCCAAGTAGAACAGTGGGTCTCTCACAACTGATGGGTCAAAGCCTTCCTTCCGCAGCTCTGTCTTCTGTAGCTTGAAGGTCCCTGAGGGAGCAATGGGGATGGATCAGAGGGTGCAGGGCAGGGGCCTGGGCCTCAGGAAGCTGCCCACCAAAGTTGAAGAGGGACAGAGAAGGAAGGCTGGAGAGAACACGGGAAAGCGGCCTAGAGCACGGTAGGGCCAAGCCCTTTACAGTTTGCAAAGGAGGCTCCAGTTAATTACATTATATCCTGCTTTTCAGAGCAGCCCTGGTGAAGGGGTGGGGGGGGGGGCTGCATTACCCGTCTTCTTTTTGCAAATGGGGAAACTGACAACCAAAGAAGGGAAACTATCCATCTAAGGCCACACACACTGAGTGACAGCAGAGTGAGGACCAGAACTCAGATCTGGGCTTTGAGCACCTCCCAGGGAAGGGCATGATCTAATTTAATCTGCACATCAACCCCAGAGGCAGGTGCTCAACACTCTTCTATGGATTCTACATGCATGTCATTTTCAGCTTTTAACATATCTGAAGTCGTTTCAACAGGCAGCAATGTTTTCTCAGCACTCGTAATGTAAATTCCCCATCTCTCCGCAGGGGCATCACCCCTACAGGGCAGGAGAGACTGGCGCAGTGAGACACGCCCCCGGGGCCAACATCACACAGCTCATCAACGCTGGAACTGGGATTTGAATCCAGGTATGTATGACAAATTGCCCGATTCCTTCCCTCCCTGGACGTGTACTCCACCACCTTGTGGCTTGGCCACGTCTCCCAGCAAGAGCTGGAGTCTTTTTCCATCCCCCACCTGAACCCAAACTGGCCTTGTGACTTGCTTAACCAACAGAACATTCGAGTGCTGGGTCTAGGCCTCGAGGGGCTTTGCAGCTTCTACTCCCTCCCTCCTGGCAGTGCCTGACACCGGTGTGGTCTCTGAAGGCTGGGAAGCCACGCAGAACAGAGGGGAAACATCCCAGGAAAGCCCCCTGGGCTGGCACTATCCAGTAGGAGAGCCACTGGCCATACGAGACCACACACATTTAATTAAAATTAAGCAAAATGTCAAATTCAGTTCCTCAGTCATACCGGCCCCATTTAAAAAAGCGCTCAGTAGCTACGCAGGGCTAGTGGCTGCCGTGCCGGTCAGCGCACATACAGAACATCATCATCCTCGCACACAGGTCTGTTGGCCAGCGCTGCAGAACCAACCGGCCGGGAGCCAGACGGGTGGGTAAGGACATCATCCTGGCCCCTCCAGCCCCAGCTGAGTCACAAGCGATGGCAGCTCTTCCACTCCAGGGGGGGCCAGCAGAAGAACCGCTCAGCTGAACTTGACCCCAAATTGCTGACCCACCACTGAGAGCAAAAACATGACTGTTTTATGCCCTAAAGTAAGTTTTGGGGTGTTTGTGCTGTAGCAAACCCTCTGAAACCTGAGGGCTGACACCTTCCCTGCCTCTCCTGCACAGAGAAGTCAGCTGTCACCCAAAACTCAGGAGCTCTCAGGCTCAGTCATGCACTGTTTCAGGTGCTCCTAGGGGCCTACTACCTGGCAGGGGCCACCTCGGTCAGGGCAGGCCTTCCAGCAGGGCAGGGCTTGACATGATGAGCGTACGGGAGGTGGCCTGAGGCTGAGCAGGGGGAGAGTCCGGACAGGGCAACAAGCACTAAGGCAAGCTGGGGGCAGGACTGGGCAGGACCCCCAGACTTCCTGCCCATCAGGGGACCCGTCAGTGGTCCAACAGACAGAGGCTGGCACTGCCCTGCTATGTGACCGTGGACCCACCACTCACCTCTCGCCTGGACAACAGCAAGAGCCCCTCACTCGTCTCCCCACTCCCCTGGAGCTGTCTGCAGCCCTCTCCTGCACTCCACATGGCATCCGGAGGACTGTGTGGAACATGCACCTGACATAGGTCACTGCTCTACTCAAACACTTCTGTGGCTCCCTACTGCCTGGACATAGTCCAGGCCCCTCCCCAGCCCACAGAGTCTTCTGGTCTCCACTGACCTCTCTGCCCCACCTGACATCACTGCCTGCCCCCACCCCCCCTCCCTTGGTTCCAGCTTTGGGGGCCTCCTTTCCTTCCTCTCTTGGCCAAGTGCCGTCCTGTCTCAGGACCTGCCTGGAATGCCTCCTACCCCACAAACCCCGCCCTTTCATTCAGGTCTCAGCTCGAACATCACTTCCTCAGGGGGGCCTCCCAGGCACCCCACCCCCATTCATTTGCTTTTCTGTCAGTTTGATCTGTATTCTGTCCTTTACATTTGGAATTCCGTGTCCTCTGCTGCCTCCCCTACCGCTGAACAGGCTTCAAGAAGGCAAAGGTCCCATCAGAATTTGTTACCTATATCCCCAAAGGCCTAGAACAGAGCCTGGCAGGCACATAGTAGGTACTCAGTAAACATTCGTCCCGCTAACGGACGTATGAACCTTCTCTCTCTGAAGGCTCAGTCCATTCACTTGTACACAGGGAGGTCTGCTTACCAACGACACAGCAATGCTGTGGGTAAAGGTCAAATGACAGCCGCCCGGATCTCTCCAAAAGGAACCAAGAAGGGGCACAGGCCTGGGGCCTGTAAGCTGGAGCAGGGGAGGGGACATACCCGTTTTGTGCAGCTCAGGCAGGAAGCGCAGGAAGATGGGGCGGGCATACAGGGGCAGCTCCTTCTCCAGCAGCTGTGCAAAATGCTCCAGGTCACAGCTGCCAGCAGGGTTGGCCACCGCAGCCATTCCAGCCCGGCCCTCGGTTCCTGGAGGCAGCAGCACGGACCGTGAGGAGCTGGCTGTGCCCCCTGGGGGTGCCTCCCACCCACACCTGGCAGCTCCCACCAGCCCACAGATACCTGGCACCCCGACACCATACACTGCCACGTCGGCCATGTCCAGCAGGCGGCTGAGTGTGCCCTCTACCTCAGTGGTGGACACATTCTCGCCTTTCCAGCGGAACGTGTCTCCCGTGCGGTCTCGGAAGTACAGATAGCCCAGCTCGTCCATCACCAGCACGTCACCTAGGGGGGCGCTGTGTGAGGCAGGGCTGGGGCCGGCAGGCCTCACCGGACCCCGGGATCTGCTGGACAGGGACGGCTGGGACTGGGGCGTCCTGGGGCAGGTGTTCTCTGCAGGTGGGCGAGGGCCCCTTCATTCCTCTCCACCCTGCCCACCCCAAAGGGGCTGGTGCCCACCCACCGGTGAGGTAGGCCTGGTCTCCCTTTTGGAAGACGTCCTTGGCAATCTTCTTATTGTTGGCACCCTGGTTGAGGTAGCCGTCAAAGCGCCGCAGGGGATCCTGCTGGATGATGCGGCCCACTAGCTGGCCTGGCTCACCTGGGTGCAGGGAAGGGTTAGGGTTAGGCCTCCTCCACCACCAGCCCCCCCCCTCCCCCCCGCAATGTGCCCTGCATCTTGATTTGACTTCTGTTCACACTGCTTCCCACAGAAACGCTGCCCTGCTCCGGTGCGGGAGCCCGGAGGGCAGGGAGCTTCTCTGGGCGGGTCTGCGGCACATGGGCACTCAGTAATGTCTGAGTAACGCCTGTGAGATGGAAAGATGAACGATACGAAAGGGTGGCCAAGCGCTATGGGGACAGCCTGACCGGGGCCAGCACTCCTTGGGCCCCTGGCTCTGTTCAGAGAGCGGTCCGTTCTTTACCATACGTGACCCCCGGGGCAGCCGCAGGAGGCAGCGCCGCCATCAGCCTCACTGGCAGATGAGGGGACTTGGGCACAGAGCTAAGGGGCTGAGCCAGGATCAATCCCAGCATCCTCCACACGACAGTGAGTTAATTGACTGATGGGTAGAGAGGACAAGGAATGGAGGGACAGATGGATGAAGAAAGAGGACTCGTAGCTATAAGAGAAGAGCTGAGTGACAGCCACTGGTCAGAATAAGGGCTTCCCACTCACCCATCCCAGTCCCATCTCCCAGGCCAACCTCCCCTGCTCTGCCCACACTTCCAGCCCCGGGGCAGACCTGGCTGGCAGGGAAGGCAGAGGCCATTGGGCCCCCGGATCAGTTCCATGGTGTCCTCGTTGACTCGCACCAGCCGGATGGGGTACACAAAGGACAGGATGCGGCTGTTGAAGCCACATGCCCCCACCTGCAAAGGCCAAGACTTGGACCTGGGCTCTCCCGCCACAGGCCTGAGACTAGGCAGTGTTGGGGGGCCTGGCCCTCACACTCCCATGACTGCCTTGCCCTAACCGGACAGCGGAGGCTCTGGTCCCCACCACCCTCTGTGCTGGACCCTGCCCGCCCTAACCAGACAGTGGAGGCTCTGGTGCCCACCACACTCCACACTGGACCCTGCCCGCCCTCCACCGCCCCACTGCCCACCTGGCTGTCGAAGTTGCCCACACTGCAGTTACACTCGGTGGCCCCGTAGAACTCGGCCACCTGGGGGATGTGGAAGCGGCTAGAAAAGTCGGTCCAGATGGACTGGCGGAGGCCATTGCCGAGTGCCATGCGCACCTGGTGCTGGTGCTCCGCCTCCCGGGGCGGCTGGTTCAGGAGGTACCGGCACAACTCGCCGATGTACTGCACAATCTGTGGGTGGACCTGGAGTGAGGCTGGCCCGTGGCTGCTCTCACTTCACCTCCCAATCCTGTAGGCCCCGGGCCTCAGCCTCCCCATCCGAACAATGGGAATGTTGCCCCCAGTGAACAACTGGCCTTAGCTGTAAGACTGACGTCCCCGAGTGGGGCTGCTCGGTCACAAGGGGACAGGGACGGCTCATCCCCTGCCCTCCTCACTCACTGTGCAGTTGTACTTAATACAATCGTCCCAGAACCGGGAGGCTGAGAACTTCTTCCGGATCACCACCGTCATGCCATGGAGCAGGCACTGCCCGATTCCCACAATGTTTCCTGAAGGCGAAGGGATGGGCCATGGAGGTCTGGGAGCCAGGAGACCCCTCCCTCCAGAGCCTCCTCTTGTCCAGCCCGTCTCCTCAAAGGCCCTTCCCCCAGTCCCTCTTTCCTGTCCTGTTCCTCCAGCACTAATCATACCTCTCCCCTAGTCTTCCATGGCTCCCCAGTACCTCCCCAGTATGGGATCAAGCGCATACTCCTTAGACTGTTCCCTGGGGCCTCTGGAGCTGGCCCCAAGCTCCTGCTCCTGTACCTGTAATGCTGCCATTCATCCAGGGAGGAACAAGCTAGCCCACCTGGATTCTGCACCTCACATCTGCCTGACTTGAATGCATCTCCTCCAGGAAGCTTTCCTGGCCATCACTGGGCTCTTCTCTTGAGCTGAGCTCCTGCTCCCTGCCTGTCTCCGCACTCACCATGTCATTTCCTGAATTAAAGTCAGGTTGGGGTTCCATCCTTCATCCTGCCTTAAATACACATCTGACTCTAAGCACCTTGAGGGCAGGAACTATATTTATTCCATCTCTGTCTTCCCTAAAGCTCCTAAGACCAAGCAGCAAGTGTGTGCACACCCATGAAAATGAACAGACTAACCCAGGTGTCCTGTGTGTTGCGGACACACAAGCTGTGAGGTTCACGTTGCTGTCTTCATTCAGAGGTCCAGTCAATGGCTACCTCTGAATTTTAACCCAGATTTGACTCCAAAGCTCATGTGTTTCTACCACAAGATGCTGCCTGCTGAGGGGGTTGGGGGGGCTCCTGAGGCCTGGGGTGCCAGAGACTGAGAGGAAGGGCCCAGTACTACCTGCTGAGTGGTAGAGGGGCAGGCAGTCATAGACAACGTCGTCCGGCCGCATTCGGAATCCGTAGTACACCAGGGCAGCCATGCGGTAATACCTGGAGGGCACAGAGTGTTCCGTGGGCCCTGGAAAGGAGGAAGAGAGGCCCCTGGGTCCCACCACCCCCACTCCTCCCCCCAGGAGCCTTGCCCCTTACCTGCTGTGCACCACAATGGCGGCTTTGGGCATCCCTGTGGTGCCTGATGTGTAGATGTAGAAGAGCTTATCTAAAGAAAACAGACACATAAATGGCTTTGAGAAGGGACAGCACAGGGCTGGGGAGGCATTATCTGCAGGAAGGACAGTGCCCAGGGAACTTCTGTACCACAGACCACTTCTCCATCCCACCCTGTAGCCCAGGTCAGGGGCTGTCACATTAGTTTCCCCACTGGGCTGGGGGTTCTAGGTCAGGAACGCTGTGGGACAGCTGCACGCTGTGTGTCAACCATCTCATGCCCTCTGGATGCCTGCTGATGCCAAGGGCTGGACACCATGAGGACACCAGGCTGACCCAGACAGACACCCTGTCTTCAAGTAGCTTACAAAAGCACCGGGAGACAAAATCCACGTATGACAGAGATGAAATGACCGCAATGACAATGACCGGTTACTGAGCACTTCTTGTCACACCCTAGTTTTCCACTGTTATCTTTTACAATCTTCAAAGCCACCCCATAAAATAGGTTCCATTACCACCCCTGATTTTATAAGCTGTGGGAACCGAGGCTCAGAGGGCAGCTCAGGTGCTCCGGGACACGAGGGAAGCAGAGGGGCTGCTGAATGTGCTCAGCACCAGCTCTCGCCCTCTGGGTGGCGCAGCAAGCTGGGGGTTCCATAGGGCAGGGTGGAGCATAGAGGAGAGGCTACAGGGTCAGACGGCTGCCTGGAGGAGGGGATGGGCAGGCAGGACAGTCAAGGGCAGGGAGAGGATCGCAGGCTGACAGGGGCCGGCACCAAACAGGTGCTGGGTGAATATTTAGAGGGTCTTGCCCCCGGTCCAACCCCAGCCGAAATTCAGACCCAGCAGTTTCTTGGGCTCCACGTGATCTTGCACATTTGGGCAGCGATGAAGGCTCGTTCAACAAGTCCAAGAATCAGGTTTTGTGAGCTCCCGAGTGCTTGGCACCGTGCCTGGCATCTTCAGCTCATTTAACCTTCAGAGTGACCCATAGTAACTGTGCCCATCTTCCCAGATGGAAAAAGGTAGGTGATATGACTCACTCCAGGTCACATGACAAGTCTGCAGGAGTATGCAGGCCTCCCGCCCTGAGGTCAGCGCTCTGTCCTGGGCCCCTCTGAGAACCCCTCTGTGAGGCAGGGGACTCACCTGTGAAGCCCTTGTCAGGGCTACTGGGCAGGTGCTTGGGGGCATCTTCCAGCAGGGGGTCCAGGTGCTCTGTGCCGACGGGCACCATGCCGGGCTCCCAGGGGCCGGAGCAGAAGAGGCTGAGCGAAGGGTCCAGGCTGGCATGGATTTCAAAGATGGCTGTGGGGAAGACAGGGCTGATCAGGGGGCAGGCCAGGGACCCCATGTCCTCAGGACCTCTGCTTGTGTCAAGGCTGGCATGTCATCAGGGGAGACTGGCTGTGTGTGGGGGGCACGATGGTGAAGCACCAGCCTCATTGTAAGAAAGATGCTGACAAGAGCAACAGCTCCCTAGCTGCTATGGAGCTACACGGCGGGCTCCTTCCGTGTGCTCTCCTGCTCACACAGCCCAGGTACCAACGGCAGCCCATTGCGTAGATGAGGAGACGAGGCTCCCAGGACGGCAGGGCCTGCTCACAGCTAGAATGACCAGCTGTACCGCACACCAAGGTCTGTGCCTTTACACACTGTGCCACGCTCGTGTGTGGTTGGAAAGGAGGCATGGAGGGTCAGAGGGTGGGAACCTTCTCTCAGGCTCCCCTGTGCACTACCACGGTCCAGGTGCTCACCCGCACCAGGCACAGGCCAGTCCCGGCCCCCTCAGCCCCACTTCCTCGGCCTCCCTTTACATTTGTCCAACCCTCTCCCCTCTCCCTGCTGCATCGTTCCTCTCCCGTTCTGCATTTCAGTCACCTTCCCTGGCCATCCTCCCGCACCATAGCCATGCGGGACAGGGGACACTGGTCAAGCCCAAGATGAAATCCTGCCTCTGTGTGACCTTAGATGATCTCCTCACACCACTCGGAACCTCTGTCTCCTCATCTGTAAAGCCGAGACAGCCATCCCTACTTCACCAGGCTTTGTGAAGATTAGAGCTGCTTATTAAATTTTTTTTAACGTTTATTTATATTTGAGAGAGAGAAACAGAGCACCAGCAGGGAGGGGGAGAAAGGAAGGCACAGATTCTGAAGCAGGCTCCGGGATCTGAACTGTCAGCACAGAGCCTGGCGCGGGGCTCGAACTCACGAACTGAGATCATGACCTCAGCTGAAGTTGGACGCTCAACCGACTAAGCCACCCAGGCACCCCTAGAGCTGCCTATTAAAGCACCAAGCTCAGTCTTGGTCAGCGCTCCACACCGTGGCAAATAACATAAGCTCTGCCAGACAGCAGAAAAGAGATTGTTTCCATTTTATAGATGAAGCAAATGAGGCCTAATTACTCATAAGAATGGTTACCATCATAGCTGAGGGCTCACCTAGCATCAGCTACTTTGTTAGTGCTGCAGGCAAAGTATCTTCTTAAAAACAGTATGTGGTAGGTAGGACAGTGAGAAAACAGAGACACAGACATTTCCAGTCTCTTCCTCAGGATCTCCAGCTTACCAGTGGCACAGGCCAGGCCATCGGACACCAAGGCTCATGCCCTTAACCTCTGAACCACATAGCCTCCCTCAGGCCCAGAAGGGGGCTGTAGTCTGTGCAAGATGCTGTGGGACTCCCTGCCTGACCCCACACCCCAGGGGCTCACCTGGAGCCATCTCACTGCCGAAGATGAGGACCTTGGCCTGGGAAGTGGTCAGGCAGTGGCGCAGGGCGTCCCGCCGCAGGTTGGTGTTGATGAGTGCTGCCTCCACACCCAGCTTGGCCATGCCCAGCCATAGGCCCACGAACTCATTGCGGTTCTCCATGAAGAGGGCAGCCACGTCGCCCGAGGCCAGGCCCTGAGCCTGTAGGAAGTTGGCCACGCTGCTTGAGTAGTCATCCAGCTGGCGGAAGGTCCAATGTGTGTCTGTGCCCTCAAAGATCAAGGCTGTTTTGTCAGGGTGGCGCCGGACCGTGGAGGCAAACAAAATGGGCACTGTCCGCCGCTCCTGCAGGTACCGCCGGACCTTTGCCTTCACCTTCAGGAGCACTATGCCGCCGCTAGGTGGGAGCAAGCAAGGGAGCCGTGACCGCTGGGGTTGGGAGCAGGGTTCCCGACACCCTGGCCCAGGCTGCTGTCCCACGGGCCTGAGGCTCCTGAGCCCGATCACTTGCAACACTCCCGTTTCCCAGCACCTGTGTGCTGGGCACCATTACAGGCACCAGCCCACTGATGCCTCACAATAACACCAGGGACCCCGGGGGGTGACTCCCTCCTCAGTACAAGGGAGAAAGCGAGGCCCTGCAGCACCACGGCTCGCCCAGGCTGCGACAAGCTAAGATCACAATCTCAGTCCTCTCTGGCTCCAGAGTGTAACACCCAGGACCCCTGAAGCTCTTCTTGGAATCTAGTGTTCTGTCAGAGTCTTCCAAGATTCTGGGGCCCAAGTCAAAGTCCCAGCTCATCTGGGACCTCCCACAGCCCTGTACTGCAACCTCTCCAGACCACTCTCACAGTAAATAAAGGATAAGTTTGTGATTTGTTCGGTCTCCCTCCCTGTGAGCCCAGCAGGGGCTCCATCCTGCTTACCCCCTGAGACCCCCCTGGGTCTCACTCAGTACCGGGCACAGAGCCTCACTAGGTGATGCGGAATCACTTGGCAATATCCCCTTTTCCTGCCTGCCCCTGCCACCTCTGACCCCTGAACCCTCCTAGCTCCCTGACTTCTATGCCTATTCTGTTGTATAAGTACCACGTGCTAACCAATTGCGCCACTGGAGCTCCACTCTTCGATGCCTGCTCCCATCACCTGGACGAGCCTTTTAACTATAGCTTTTTGTCCTCCAGGCCTCCCTGATTCCCCAAGGCTTATGCCTGAAGCCCTCTCTCCCTGCTCCATACTCTCACGGCTCTCTGCTACCACCCCTCCTGCAGTGGCCGCTCGATACCTCCTTTTGCAGTCAATTCAGATGAGCGAGCTGCCTGTTCTGAGTGTGCGTCACTGTGCCGAGCACTGGGACACCACTGTGAGCAAGATGGCCAGGGTCTCTGCCCACACAACATTGTGAGTTTAGGGATTTACTGTATCACCTTCTCGTCTCCCTGACCAGACTGAGCCGGGCCCAGGACTAGGTCTCCCTTGTTCCTCCCTGGGTCCCAGAGCCAGCCCGATGCCTCGCACAGAGCAGGTAGAAGCGGGTGTTTCTGGCACAGAATGGCCCTGTAGACCCTACCTGACTTTCTTTGGGGAGCAGGTTCCTCCACGCATCTGTTTCAGGGCCCTGCTCTGACCTCTGTGCCCTCTTAGACTCATGCCAACCCAAGGTACAGGGTCCTTCCCACAGGGTTCCTCTTCATCATCTCACTAATTAAAACATGTCCTCAGGACTCTTTGTAGATGTCTTCTCAACACACCTGGCATTCAGTGCATGTCCTGGGCCCCTAAGTCTGCCCTAGGCTAAACAGCATCAAGTTAGGGAGATGCCCTAGGAGAAGACTTTCATCTTGGAAGATGGAGATACCAGGTACTACTGCTGGGGGAAGGAGGTAGAGCAGAGGTTCTTCCTCTGGGGCCCAGGTGCCCTGGTCTGGTCTGGAGAAATCTGGGGAATTAGGGAGACCCCAAGATGGGCTGGACCAAATACTCACAAGACATCACGCCTTATGGTCTTGATGAAGATTCGGACAAAGCGCCAGCCTCCAGATCCCAGGTAGAGGAACAGCAGGGAGAACCCCACTTGAGTCCAAGGCAGTTTCAGCACCAGCTTGGAGAACAGCAACACCCCCACCAGAGACGCCCCGAGCAGCATTGCGGCCTGTGGGCACAGAGCAGTCAGTGGAGCCAAATGTCTATGTCCCCTACCTCCTGGCCTAGGCAGCTACTATGATCCTAAGGGTCAACCTGTAGTGAGGTGAGGCTTAGCCATACTGAGTAGGCAGCTGAGGATGGGGTCCCTTTCCACAGCTGTCTTGAAACAGGCTAGAAGCACGGGACTAGAGATGAGTAATTCCATGGCCGAGATGCAGAGGCTAGATTCTAGCCCCTTAGTCCTCCTACGACTCTTCCAGTGACCTTGGGTAAGTTCCTTTCCTACTTTAGGCCTTAGTCTCCCCCTCTGTGCTATGGTGTAAGTGAGAATCGCTCTTGGAAGCCCTTCCAGCCAAAACAGGACAGTCTACCCTCCTGACATCCAGGATCTTGAACCAAAATGTCTTGGAGGGGGTATTAACTTAAGCGTCTCTGGCTTGACTCCTCATCCAAATACTCAAGGATGGGTCTTTGGGTCTCTGGATGACCAGGCCAAGCCACAACACCCAAAGGGGCAAGCTCCCCGGAAAGGGGCCTGGCGGAGTCTCTGCCCACAAACTCGCAGGGTGCCATGTTTCTGCTGGCCCACAGAGGGCGACAGAGCAAACGGGTTAGAGCCTGGAGGTGCCTGAGAGATGACCGCCTAGAGGGGAAAGGTGATTGAGGGAGCACAAGAGGGCAGTGAAGGCACCCCCTTACAAACACACTCAGCAAGCCATTTACATGCATCTTTAGGGATTGGGCTATAGGGGAAGGGGAACAGCTGACTGGACTGAGATTAGGAGTCTTGGGCTCTTCTCCTGGAGCCTTAGGGACTTGCTCAAGAGGAAGCAGATGGGACTCCGTTTTCTTGCAGGGTTCTCCGATTCGTGGGTGGGGGCTGAAGGTCACGGCTGTGATGTAGCCTGAGAGTCTCCAAGCCAGTATGAGGACACGGTCTGGACCACAGGGAGCCCTTACATGCCATCTCCCCCTTCTCCACGGGAAAATCAAAAGCCGGGAGGGAGACCAAACCAGCACTCCTAAATCCAATGCCAAGGTCTCTAAGGTCCTCAGACCTCCCAGAACCGGCCAGGGCAGAGAACAGGAACCCATCCTGGATGGCTGGGGGATGGGACGAGAAGGGAAAGGGATGCCGAGATACCTCGCGCCCCCGTCCCTGGTCACTGCGAACCGCCCTCGCCCCTAAGGAGCCAGGGCAGCAGAGCGCCCGGCAAGGAGACACAACAGCAGGGCGCGTCCCTCATCCCAGCCGGCCGCGCCACCTCCCCAAGACTCAGCCGGGCACATTCCCCGCCCGGGGACCCACTGGCCTGGCTTTTGCTCACCCAGCGTCGGCCCCGCCGCGCGGTGCCCCGTCCAGATGCGGCCTGGCTGCGGCAGCGGAGTGGGGAACGCTGGGGGCATCAGCCGCCCCTGGGCGCGCAGAGCCGAGTCTCAGCAGAGCTTTGCCGGCTCTGCGCCCTGCATGGCCCGGCCGCCCGGCCAGCCCCGCCTGCCTCCCGGCCCCGCCCGCCCGCGGCGCTCCTCCCCCGCCCGCCTCCTGCAACCCCAAACCGGCTGCGCCGGCCCGCAGCACCGCCTCCCGCGCCTTCCCCACGGCCGGAGAGCCGCAGAGACCGCGGCGACGCGCAGCTCCAACGCGCCGACGCCGCCCGGCCCAGCCCGCCCTGCGCGCGCGACGGCCTCGGGCGGCACCCCGCGCGGCACGCTGGGAGTTGTAGTCCGCGCCGCCCTGCCCGGCCCCGCCGCGGAGACCCCCGGGACGGGAGGAGACCCGCGGGCTGGGAGTGGGTCCTGCGCCCCCAGCCCAGGGCGTTCGGACGTGGGGGGAACACCCCCGCCAGCATCGTGGGCGGAGAATCCAGAGTCCGCGCGCAGACACGAGCAGGGTTCCGGAGAGGCCAAAGCCGCACCTAGAAGAGCGCTAAAAGGGCGGCTTAGGCTGAGGGGGTGAGCCGGGGGAGGTTTCAGTAGCCGGCTCTGTGGCGCAATGGATAGCGCATTGGACTTCTAGCCGATCCTTGGTGTGGTGATTCAAAGGTTGTGGGTTCGAGTCCCACCAGAGTCGAATTTTGGATACCTCCTCCCTCACTTTCATGTGGATATTTTACGGCCTTCAGTACCTTCACAAGTTTCAGAAGATCTGCAGACCAGAGGCTGGAACCTCTGCTTCTGGGATGGCAATAAATGTGACGTCAGGATTTCTGCCTAGGAATCCTTTCTAGCCTTGGTGTGTTGTAAGCAGTTTGACACACCTCGTGGTACAAAGGGCACGGATCTGAAGACCTGTACCTAACTTTGGCCTCGGACCTCTCTGGACCCTGCAGCAAATCAGCTAACTTCTAAGCCTATGACTACATTTGTCATGCCACCTGCTGAGTCCTGGGTCACTGACCAGCTTCCCAGCCCTGTGTGGCACTGAGACCTCTGAAAACTTGATTCCTTGATAATCAAACATGTTGGGCGTCCACAATTACTTCTTATCCTGAAATACATCCACTAATTCCTTAGTCCAGGAAGAAGTCCTTAAAGGGGGAGGATGGGCAATTTTCAGGGTCTAGTCAGAGGGCTCAAAAATGAAATGAAGTTTTGGTCTAATAATTACTTGGACCTATTTATTCCAGAGTATAGCGTGCATCCTTTGGGGGGACTTAGGTAAATTAAAGCTCCGTCTCCCTCATGGGAGGCAGTGTGGTGCAGTGGTGATGGGCATTGGCATCCAACAGACATGGGTCAGCTTCTCAGCCGATTGTTTGTTCAAAGTCTCCATTTCTTCCTTCCTTCCTTCCTTCCTTCCTTCCTTCCTTCC